CAAAAGCCTTTTCTAGATCCACAAAACACATGTACAATCTTCGTTTCTTCTTTCTATAATTCTCCTGCAACATTCTCGCCATGAACAACGCATCCACCGTTCCCCTACCAGGCATAAACCCACACTGCATTTCATTAACTGTCACCATACTTCTCAACCTCCTCTCAAGCACCCTCTCCACTACCTTCATTCCGTGCTCTAGTAATTTCACACCCCTGTATGACCCACAATCTCTCACATCTCCTTTGCCCTTATACAACGGCACCAACACACTGTGTCGCCAATCCTCAGGTATACCTTCATCATCAAACATACTGTTAGCAATTCTCATCATAACTTCGATTCCTATCACCCGACTCGCTTTAATATGTTCAGCCGCCACTTCCGAAACCCCTGTCGCCTTACCTAGTTTCATTTCTCTAACTGCTTTCTCTACTTCCTCCCTCGTCACCTTCTCTATAGGTCCGTGTGTGACCGCGGATTCCACATCTCCATCCCACTCATTCTCTTCATTCATCAACCTTTCCATATGAGCTTTCCACACCTGAGCTTTTTCCTCCTCATCTATGCACAACTTGCCAGATCCATCCCAAACACATCCATTCCCTATAACATCTTTCCTATCCCTCATTGACTGCTTTGCTACTTTGAACATTTTCCTCGAACTCACATCAGATTCCATTTCCTTCATTAACCTATCTGATGCTTTCGTCATTGCAGTTGCCACTGCCTGTTTTGCAAACTTCTTAGCCTTCCTATACTCAGACTCCGCTTCCTCCGTCATGTCCCTTCTCCATACCCTAAACCTCTCCTTCTTGACTTCCAAAACCCTTCTTATATCTTCATCCCACCACCACGTCTCACCATGCCTACACTTTCCTTTCGTCCATCCACATACTTTATCTGCCGTAGCCAACACACAGTCCCTGTATCTCTCCCAAACATCTCCATCCTTACCACTCTCCCAATTTTCAGCCACCTTCACTTCAAATGCCTTCCTCACCTCTGCATCCTGCAACTTCCATGTCTTTCTCTTTGCCACAAACTTATCCTTCTTCCTCCTCCCCATTTCTTTTGATGTCACATCCATCACAACCATACTATGCTGCAACATACCAGGTATCGCCTTCACATTCTTCACATACTTCCTATGTTTGGCCCTTACCAATATATAGTCGATCATTGATCTATGTTCCCCTGACCTATAAGTAATCAATCGCGCTGGTTCCCTTGTGAACCAAGTGTTTCCCACCACCATGCTGTGTACATCCGCTAACTCCAACACTCTACGCCCTTCCTCATTCCGTATACCATATCCCCATCCCCCATGTACACCTTCATATCCGTCTGCATCCGCCCCCACATGACCATTCAAATCACCCAACAACACCACAAACTCATGCAACCCCGCTTGCCCAATCTCGTCAGAAACATCATCATAAAACCTATCCTTCTCCTCTTCCTTCCTACTTTGTTGCGGAGCATATCCTGATATCACCCTCACTATTACTTTTCCAAACACCATCACCACCACAATTACCCCATTGCTTCTCCGCCTCACTTCCAACACCTGCTCCAACAACTCTTCTCTTACCATCACACCAACTCCTCCCGTACCATCATCCCCCTTCCACCACAACTTATATCTTCCACCTTTAGCCCCCACAAACCTTGTACCCTCACCCTTCCATCTGACCTCCTGTAATGAAGTCATAGTCATGAATTGTAAAAACTGTGACTGATCCTTATTCACAAATCCGTCTTTGGATACGTCTGGATTTGTATTTGTAAACCTGGGTTACGGTCTGACTTGAAAACGTCAAATTATGGCTCAAGTGAATTATCTCACAATGTTAAATTTTTTCAATTTGAAATTGAAGCTAAAATCACTTATTACGGCCCTTTTTTTAAAACGGAAATAACGAGCGAATGCAGATAAAAAGTGTTGGAATTGCGGATGTAAACTTTCCGAGTGCAAGCGATTAAGGATTAAAAAATGTATGGCTATAGTTCGTATTCTGTTCTATCGTTTTCCCGTTATACGTCAGTTGACGTCACACATTCCTTATAATTTTTACTGGCAACCCCGATTAGCATATAATTATTGTTTTAAGGGTTATTGCTCAAACCAAGTCTTTCTGTTCAAAATTCATCACATGGGAAAAGAACAATGGTTCACAGATCTTTTGTTGTTTTTATTTGTTGCTGTATGTGAAACGTTGCTAAGGTAAATTACGGTTTTTTTTATCATTCTGGGTTTGAGTTAATTTTCTTGATTGATTAAGACGGCTAACCAAGTATTTCTATTCAAAATTCCTCACATGGGAAAAGAACAATGGTGCACGCACAGTGATACTTTGTTGTTTTTATTCGTTGCAGTTAGTGAAACGTCGCCGAGGTAAATTACGGTTTTTTATCATTCTGAGTTTGAAAAAATAAGATTTCTTGATTGATTAAGACGGCAAAAAATAAATAATAAGTTGGTAAAGTAAACTTGAAGAGGATTGCAACGTAGGCATCATTAACTAGACAAGGTAGATATTGTTGCAAAATCGGAAATTCGCTCTAGTTGCTAGAAGCTAGCTGCATGGCATAGATAGGGCACAGCACACATTTTTTTTATATGCCCTTTTTTATTATTAGCCACGAAAGTGAAGTTAGCAATGGTATTCGTATTTAGATCTAAAAATTAGTTGACCAATCGGTCAATCAATTTATTTTTAAAGTTCTGTTTCTCCCAAATGTTCAACTCAACAGTGCTCCTTATAAATTTTATTTTCTCTTTTTAGAAGATCATGGCTTGTACATGTGCATTAATGTGTAATTTTAATAACTATTCCATATTTTATTTATATGTAGTCAGTGTAAGAGAACAAGATATGGAGAAATTAGAAAGGATGAAGGCTAGAAAGCAACTAAACAAGCAGCAGAATTTAAAAAAGGATATAGTCAGTGGAGAATCAGTAAGACCGTAGTAGAGCTAATTACAATAAATTAATAACAGATGATATAATGAATCAATGTTACTATACTTTATTATTTTTTTACTTTATTAGTCTCTTAGTTTAAATATTTTAAAACATTTAAAGCTTTTAAACTTTAAAACATTACAGATATTCTATTGTTCAATTATTTTTGGAATGTGGCACTGATATAGAGAATTAAGCCGGTAATTTTTTTTTGCTAGATACATGTGGTACCCAATCTCCTAAGCATTAAAAAGTATAATTTTGTAATTGAATTCTGAACTTTTTTGATATAGTGTCATGAATCGACAGAACAGTTGTCATTATGAATGTTGCACTGATACAGTGAATTAACTGGTCGTCTTTTCTTAGATTTATGTAGTACTCAATCTCCTGCGCCAGAAAATATACAGCTTGGTAATGGGAATCTTGACATTTTTGATATATATTGTCAGGAATTGATTGAACAGTTATCATTATGTATTACTGAACTGGCGCTATGGTTTGATTTTTTTTAAATGGGGCACTGATATAGTGAATTAAGTTGGTACTTTTTTTTACTAGATTCATGTAGTAATCAATCTCCTGAGCATGAAAATGTATTACATGGTAATGGAAATTCTGACGTTTTTGATACATAGTATCTTCTAATCGACCAAATAGTTATCATTATGTGTTACTGAACACAGCACACTATAGCTTGGTTTTTTGGAATTTGGTGCTGGTATATTGAATTAGGCTGATAGTTTTTTTACTGGATTCATCTAGGGGCTGCTAGCAGTATTTTTGGGAAAAATCTGTGAAACTCAGTTTCCTGTTAAAATAAATAAATTAAAAAATGTATATATATATATATATATATATATATATATATATAATACGTAGGGTTTTTATTTTGCATGGTTTTTCGAACATATATATATATATTTATATATATATACATACATGATTTAATAAATTTGTACACATGGATTGTAAAGGAAAGTATGATTATATAAAAATATACGTGCGTTTCTACTTAATACATTTGCGTGCTAAAAACGCGTCATGAACGAGGCTTATTTATGTTAATTGATCATGCACAAAATTAACGTGCACGTCATATATAGTTACACGTTTCTATCAAAATAGAGCACCAATATTAAGGCCTTGTCTTCGTTATGGTTCATAGAGCGTAGTGTGTGTTGTGTATGCTGAGGTCTGATATTCGAATAGGCAAATGGTTGTATTTTTTCTTTAATATGTACTTCTGTTGGTGGGGTCGATACTGCTATTTATGATTGTTAAACATATGCAATTTAATTGTAATCATAGGTAATGTGAATAATTGTATATGTAATTGTAATTATGTAATTGTATGTAATTATGTAATTGTATATATTATTGCGACAATATAATCCTGGCTGCTATGATAGCATACTATCTATCTAGCAGCCAATTGAATATATTGTCTCAATAATGTAAATATATTATATAAGATAGGAAAGATTAAACGTTAAAGTAATAATAATAGATAATACATCATAATCGTTTTGTTAGTCCTAGAGCAAGGTTCTTTTTCAGTGAAGGATTATGTAGGAAACGTAAATCTAAAAATCATCAGCAATTAAAAAGTAGAACAAGTTATCCTATCTGTGGTGGATTATATAAAAATTAAAGATATCATTATTTTGTTTGACTGATCACAGGTTTTTTAACAGTTCATTATTGTTTTATTATATAGCTTATTAGTTATTTATTTATTCAGATAATTTCTTGAACTTAGTTTGTTTTTCTTTTTAATAATAAATTTTTCAAGAAAGCCATTTTTTTAAATATCAAATAATATGGAAATTTTAAAATTGTTTCATTATTTTATAATTATTTCAGAGTGCTAATCAAGTTAACTATCACTCAATAACTTTTTGTATGTGTATAAATATTTTAAAATAAATATGTAAATTATTAGTTGTAGTAGTAGAACATTTTTTATTATAAATTGCCATAGTCCCTTCATTTTCTTATTTTCGTTTGGGTTTGATGGGAAATGCTATCAAAATGTCTATTTTCAAACAATAAAATTGAGGTGATTGAGCCTTTACTATTTACTTTGTATTTACTTTCATCACTACTGCATTGTTATTAATTTCAAAATAAAATGATGATTTTGAGTTGCAAAGTGTTTTTTCCAATAAAACTGCTAGCCATCAATAAATTATTCATGCTTGCTGATAGGCTAAAGTTGATTTTTAAAGTACCTGATTTGAACATCCTTTTAGAAAAAATTTATATTATTGTGTTATAAATGTAAGGTAAGGCTTTTAAAATGTAAATTTTATATTATAAAATCATGAAAAATTACATAAAATTGCACATTCTGCTACTTTTATAATTTATTTAATATATTATTTAATATATATAAAAATATATTTTAAAAAATATATTTTTTTTCAAGTGCAAAATAGTTCTGTAATTTGCCCAAGAAAAAATATTTCTATGACGTCGCTCCCTTGTTCTCTTCCAAATGGTTCGTCACAAACCACAAAAGGTCCTCCATGCAAAGTCTGTGGGGATGAAGCATCTGGTTTTCATTATGGCGTGGATTCGTGTGAGGGTTGTAAGGTTAATGGTTGATGTTATTTTCATGTACTATTGTTAAAGATATTTTCTTGGCTTAATATGCTTGAAAGCTCACTGGCACTAATTGGTCATCAGTTAGTCCATTCTGTTCCCAATTGATAAAATTCCATAATTAATCTTTCCAAGTTTTATTTTCTCATTCTTCATAGAGAAATGTGTTTTAAAACTGGCATGCACTTTTAAAATATTTTAGCCTCGACCTGATGAACAAAAGTTTTGAGTACAAGCATTTCAAATTCAGTCAAATACTTTTCAGTTTTGACATTAAAAAATGTGATTGGTTTCATCTTTCCACAAAATTACAAAATTGCTTTAGTAGTTTAGTCACTGGTTGTAAAATACTGTAATTTTTAATTTTTAAATATATAATGGAGAAGTTGATAATCATTAATATTTAGCATTATTATTTTGTTTACATTCAACAGGTATAATATTTTTCGAAGGCAGATTTTTGAAAATTTTTTGATCAAATTACATTTCTATGAATTTTTTAACAGGGCTTTTTCAGGCGTTGTATTATGCAAGGCATAAACCATCAGTGTGTGGCCAATGAAAGATGTGAAATTACACCATTTAGTAGAAATAGTTGTCAGTGGTGCAGGTTCAAAAAGTGTTTTGCTGTTGGCATGTCAAGAGAAGGTACTTGCTTGCTTGTTTTTATGTTTGTTTGCTTGCTTGTTTATTTGCTTGTTTGTTTGTTTGGCAGTTTGTCTCCTTGTTTTCCATCCTGTCTACTTGTTTGATTGTTGTGAGATGGAATTTTAATGAGATTGTTTAAATCAATATGAATAAAAATACCGTTTGATACTATTTGCATGACTATATGACATTAATAAAAAATGGATTCAGGTTTTTTTACAGCAGTTTTTACAATTATAAATTTGTCCTTAATTAATATTTCTAATCTACATTCCAAACACTTACAGAGCAGCGTAGAAGTAGTCATAGAACATCGGTCGATTATTATACTTTTTATAGCTTTATTTCATGTCCATTTTGTTTTTATAAAAATATTGACAAGGCGGCAGGATGGTCTAGTGGTTAGAGGCTCCTGGTCTTATTTTGCAGTGTGTCAGGGACCTAGTTAAAATATGACAAAAAAATCTCCACCTGTCACATGCTTTGTATGTGATGCATTGTTTATCATGTATTCATTTACTTTGTTTCATTTCTTTGAACTTTGGAAGAGTTTATAAGAACTTTTCTTTACCTGTTTATGTAAACAGTGTATAAAAACAAAAAATAATACTAATTAAAGTTGTTCTTCATGGTGGTTTAACTACCAAGGTTTTGAAAAAATTAACTAAAATATTTGAGGGTGGGGCTACAAAAATCTTCATAACTTGAAAAAATGTTTTTTATTTATTATACCCATTCACCTACTTGTAATATATCATAGAAATGAAAGATGTTCCAATCTAGAGCATAGTTCAAGTTAACAGATAATGTTCTATATTTATTACTAGCTGATATTGCTGGTGTGGTGAACTATTACAAAAATTTTTTGGGGGTTTCCGAGTCAATTTTAATTATTTGTTTGCTTTTTTCATGACTTGATTTGATTTTATGAAATGAATAAATTAAAAAATTGATGGTTATGAGCTTAACTAATAAATGATGACGTTTCCTGGAGCTAAATCCATTAAAATACATATCAATTAGACATAACTTTTGTTATTATAACTCCAACTAAATTTCTTTGAACATGTATTAATCAGTAGTATTTCAAATCCATGTTATTTATGACGTGAATGAAGAGTCTAATAGTTGAACTTAGATAAAAAATTAAAATATTTTATTTAAAAATACACTTGGACATAAATTTAAGTATTTCAATTTTTTAAATTTTAACGCTATAATGTTGAACATTAATTTTTTTTTTGTAACATTTAACCAGCATCTCGCCTGGGCAGACGGCCAAAGAGAATCAAAGAGAGGGAAAAAGAGGTGGTTCACACTAAGAGGCCGTTAATGTCAGGTTTCATTGAGGAAAAACAATTGCATCAACAACTCTCCCCCACACATTATCAACAGAAAAAATTCAGTCCATCTCTTTGTCTGTATAAACTACAAGTTTGTTTGATTGTTTGTTTGTTGTTCTGCACACTTTTTTACTGTTTTTCTTTTCATTTGTGGGTATCATCTTTTTGATCGATTTGGTTTTTTGTTATCTCTAGTAATCTGGTTGTATATTCCGTTCATTTTATTTTAGATTTTGTAAGAAATTTTTTTGTCTAACCTTATCCATTAAGCTATTTTATTTTTAATGTTATTTATATATTATTATTGTTTTTATGAAAAATATACAGTCAAGACATGATGTCTCAAACTCTCAAAATGATGAAATAATTAAAATATGTGTATACATAATTGAAAAAAATAAAACTGACAAAACGGTGATTATTTTAGATGAAAATACTTGGTCAAAAATTTTAATTTCAGGCAATCACATCAACCTTCCTATTCACATATTGTATTTCAACAACAACAACAACGACACACGTTTAGACGACATTTTCCCCGAGATCGGGGGTTGCCGTTTGGCTACCTATGATGAAACCGAAATACCCCTCGACGCCATTTACATCTGTCACTCGCCTCAGCATCACGCAACCCCGCTTTCACTTTGTCCTTCTCCACCTGCTCTCTCCATCCCAGTCGCGGACGACCTCTTCCTATCACTCCTTCAACCTCGAACTCCAACACTCGCCTAATCCCGGCCCTTTCATCCCTTCTTAACACATGTCCATACCACCGCAATCTCGATCTCCTTATCAATGTCACAATGTCACAGATCAATTTTTATTAACTTCTTCTGAAAAGAAATGTTAATAATCAAGTTTTCAATTTTTTTGTAGAAATTGAAGAGTAATCAAGTGTCATTTAAGAAATGAATGTTTTTGTTTCCTATTCTTGTTTTATTGATGCAAAATTTTGAGGTCTAAATTCAATATAAATATGATCATTATCAAAATTGATCTTATTTATGATTTTTCAACTCTTATTTCATCCAATCTAAACATCCTTTTTGAATGCTAAAACTAAAGTTGCTTGAAAATTTTTTGTTCATTATAGTCAGTTTATGCCCAATTATTTCTTTTAATTTTGATAAATAATGTTTATCAGTGGTTTTTTTTTTAATTTAATGTTCAAATGATGTCAAACCAATGTTTATTTAATGGCAATTTTATTACATTTAAGTGCATTTAAAAATTTTCGCAATAACCATACAAAAATCGAAACGATGTTATTTCTATTTTTTGAAGGGTTTTGTGAACTCGTTAAATGATGGCAGTACACAACTGCAAATGTATTCAACAGAAGCGTCTTCGACTTCTTTGTTGAACCAGCAATCAATCAATAACCAGCAAAAGGATACGAATAAATTCATTAATCCCCTTTTAAAATCGCATCTTCTTTCTGATGAGGATGATAAAATCAACAAAGCAGTATCATCATCTAATCCATCAGCCATAACATCCAACGCACTACCATGTCTAGTCAAAAAGGAATCCCCTAACTTTTCACCACCACAAGATGATCAACACTCGTCTCTTTCGTCACCATTGTCTGATCCAGTCTTATTTAATTCACCTCACATAATTAATTATGAAGATGCAGTCAGGTCAAAAAATTTTTGTTGCCATTGCATAAAGAATGCAATTGGTTATATTGATAAGTCTGGAAGGGTGATAATGAATTCTTGCATGTGCTCGAACAGGAACAAAGACAAGGAAGCATCTGGTCACCAATCCCATTTAGCAGCATCTGATAATGATTGCATAAATAGTGAAGCTGCATTGTTTGAGCGATTCAATCAAGAAAGAGATTTATGTGCAATGAACAGATTGAACAGCCAGCAAGCTCAGATCAGTTCACGTTTGAAGAACAACCATTGTATGAATAGCATTAAAAATAACAACGTCATACCAGCATTCCTACCGTCTGTTCAAATAACATATCCATCTCTCCTACCATCGTCATCGTCGTCACTGTCGTCGTCATTTATTCAGTCCAACGCTTCAGCAAAATTTCAGAATCAGCTGAAACAGGGCGTTAGTAAAAAAGAAAGCTTGTCTCTTTCCAATGATGTTCTTTCGTCTAATTCTGGTGAATTGTCACTAGTTGGAAGGCCTGAAAATTGGTACAATGATTATGACAGGCTTGTTGGTAATAGTGATGAAAAATATATGGATGATAGAAATTATTTAACAAAGACAAGTAGGCCGTCTTCGGTTAATTCGTTACCAGATGTCAAAATTTATCGAGATTTTTCACCAGAAATCATCGACAGTAACGAAATCCAGAAACATTATTATGAAAAAATGTTTTCTCCGAATTACCAAGTGAACGATATTAATGACAACTGTGCAGTCAGTGACATCAGTGACAACACCAGCACTTCATCAAATAATGACGACTACGCCCTGCATAACATTAACAATTTTGAGATGCCACATCGGCCTTTGCCTTCTAACATTTTTAGAAAAAAACTCTACTCAAGTGATGCCTTCAAGGCGCAAGTTAGTGAAGCCAAAGTTACACCAACAGAAGACAGAATGAAATTACTAAGACAGGTTATTGACATTGATCTTTATTTCAATTTTAAATTTACAAAAACTGCAAAAGTTATTATTATTTGCGAAAATTCTAAAAAAAAAGTTTCTGTTTAAAATGAGTTACAAAGTTATGTTGATTCTGGCTGGTAGTTCTAGCAAAAAATATCAATTATAATTGTTAGTTTGATATATTTATTGTTTACCGAATTTAAGAAATCTACTGTTGACAGGTTGTACGTATGTTGCAAACGTAGAGGTTTATAAACTCATGCTAGAATCAATAAAATTACTAATACTAAAATTTTTATTTATAATGATGATGAGCTAACTTCCTAGCAAAACTTTTTTTAATAGTTTCTATAATCTTATCTGTGAAGGAAGTTTATCATGAAGCTGCTCATTTATGAGACATGTAATGATCATGAATTATGCATGAAGACTGAAGGGTGCTACTTATAAGTGTGAATAGACCGGTATGATGAGTCAAATTGTATAAGTATTTAAAGTGCCTCTATTCAGTTGTTCCCAGAGTTGCTAGTAGAATGCATTAAAGTGGTTATCGTGACGTGAATCCTTTTGTTGAAAAGAAGATATTTGACTTTTATTGTAAGTCATAAAGCAAAAAACAGATGTTTTTCAAAAAATTGTTCAGAAATGGTCAAGTCAAAACAAAATTTTTAGCACAACCTCGATAACATTAATGCATGGTGCATCATATACGCTGTGAACATTTTGTGCAATAATGGTGAATAACCATTACCGTGGTTAATTGTGCCGAATTGTAAAAGGTTTAATATTATATTATTAATATGACTTACATTAATGTTAATGTACATAACTTGTAATATTAACTTTTGTTTGATTGTCCTGCAACCAACTTGACTTGTTAGGTCGTCGAAAACACCATTGAAGCACACATTGAGACATGTGTCTACACGACTGACAACGTGACTTTCGGAATTCATTCTTACAATGAGTCCATCAAAGAAAGGCCAACGGTTACTAATAATAAACTGCATTAATAATTATTCTTTCATATTGAACCTTCAAAGATATAGTGTGAATATAAA